TGAGAGGCTGTTTTGATAACATGGATTTTAAAAAGGCAAGCACCATAAAATGGGAGAGGGGGGACAGACACAAAGGGTGTTAAAACGTCGGATTCTAGTCACAAAAGGACAAAAAGTGTACGATTCCACTTGGATGAGGCACCTCGAGTAGTCACATTCGTAGAGATAGAAAGTAGAATGGTGGTTACCAGGGGCCGGGGGCGGGGGATGGGGAGTCAGTGCAGAGTTTCAGTTGGAGAAGATGAGGAGGTTCTGGAGATGGATGGTGGTGGTGGTTGTACAACAATGCGAGTTCACTTAATGCTACAGAAATGTCTACTTAAAATGGTAAAGTTTCTGCTAGGTGTATTTTACCACAATTATTAAAAAAAAAAAAACAACTGTAACATGAGAGGGAAGGGAGGAGGGAGGAGGGAGAGAGGGAGGGAGGAGGGAGAGAGGGAGAAGATTGACAGGCGCAGGATCTACTAGAACTGGGGGGAGTGGGAAGGGGAGAACTCGGGCTGACTCCAGGTGTCTGGCCTGGGTGACTGATGGCGGGCAGAGGTGCCATCACCCTGGCGAGGAGATGGTGGTGGTGAAGTGGGCTGGCCCAGCTCAGGGTTGGGCATGTAGAGCCTGAAGGACTCCAGGACAAGTGCCCAGCAGGGAGCCTGAGCTAGAGAGAGACCATCTGAGAGTCCTCAGCTTTATGCTGATAACAGACCCCATATAGGAGATAAGAACCCCAGGGGGACTGTGAAAAATGAGAAGAGGGCAGAGCTTGGGGCGGCAAATGGGCCAAGAAGCATATGCTTCATCAAGGAGACTGAGAAGGAAGGGGCAGAAAGGTGGAGGGGAACCGAGAGAGTCCGAGCTCTTGCTCTTGTTTGTCTGCAATTAGCAGGGACTCATTCAGGGTATCTGAGTGTGGGGAGAGGGGTGGGCCTCCTAAGCGTTGTGGGAGGACAGGGGCCTCACAGGAATCCAACATAAGTCATAACGACCTGGACCTGAGGGAGCGGGGACGGGGCACTGCTGGGGACACTGTGTTCTCCATCTCTCTGTCAGCCCCGCGAGTTCTCATGTGGTGGACTCTCGCTCCACCACACGTCTCGTACCTCATGGCCTCGGCTTCCACATGCTCGTCATGGTCCCCTCGCTTCACCCTCAGCTGCTGCTGCGACCTGCCTCATTCTCTCCTTACGTCCCAGATCAATGCTGTAAAGGGTTGAATCATATTCCCCCAAAGGACATACTTGCAAATATGACTTTATTTGGGAATAGGGTCTTGCAGATGGTCAAGTTCAGATAAGGCCGTGAAGGCAGGGCTTAATCCAATATGACTGGTGTCCTTATGTAAAGGGGACATTTGGACACAGACACACAGAACTGGGAGACTGCCAGCCCAAGCCTAGGAACACGGGAGGCTACAGAGCTAGGAGAGAAGCATAGACCAGATTTTCCCAGAGCCCTCAGAAGGACTCAACCCCGCCGACACCTAGACTTTGGACTTCTAGCCACCAGAACTAAGAGACATAAATTTCTGTTGTTTAAGCCACTCGATTTGTGGTACTTTGTTAGGGCAGCCCCAGGAAACTAATACAAATGCCAAGAAATAAAGGAACACATATTCACCCAACTCATCCTTTTTTCTTGTCCCAGCCCACCTCACAGGTCACTGACTTGAGCCAGGTACCTGTCCTGTCCAATCAGCTAAGGCGGGTGTCACATGATATAAAGCATGGCTGCCCCCAAGAGGTGCCCCTTGAAGGAGGGCAAGGGAGAGATAGCTCTCTCAGAAGGAACAGGGGACAACTCAGGCACTTTCGTGTCCCTAAAGCCAAAGAAAGAGAGGAGCAGGCTTCAGTGATGAGGGATCATGGTATAAATTCCTTTAGCCAAAGTGTCTTCCAAAATAGAAGGACAAAGACAGGAAGAGAGAGGAGATGGGATATGAAGAATCAGCTTTGTAAATCAACCTTTCTTCACCCATCATTAAGACATTCACTGCGCCTGAAATAAGAAGATGGTATAACTGGAAAATATTCATTTAAACTTGTGACTCAGCTCCTCCTGACCTCAGGGAAGTACAGTCCATAAATCAAACTGCTGCTCCAGCACCTCCTCCCCAAGTGTCCCCACAGGGGCAGATGCTTGAGAAGCCATTAGAAGTGACGGGACCCACTTCAGTGAGAGATTTAAAAGCACATTTGGTACTCCAGGAGCTTGCCCATCTCAGAGCTTTCTCTTCTGAAGCTTCCTGATGGATGGCCTCAGCCCTTAACCCACTAATTTTTACTGTCCAAACTGCCTAGTTTTATTTCCTGGCACAGCTTGTAAATTCTGTTTTTTAAAAAAATATATTTAGCAGCAGCTTAAGGCTTCCATTGTTGAGAAGCAGGGTGGCCAGATGCGCTGTTAGTGTAATATACACACCGGCTTTGGAAGACTTAAGTTTTTAAATGTGTTTTAAATTTATTGAGCTGCCCTTTTTATTTTTCTCATCAGCTCTTACTCAGGACCCAGTATAGAAAGCAGGAAAGAGAGGTGCTATTCTGCAAGGGGGGGGGCAGGGGGCGGCATGCTGGGAGCCCTGGCAGCTTCGTCAACCCCTCCCTCCCTGTCCTTCCCATCTTGGGTTCCCCACCCTCCCAGACCTGGTCCAGTTTTTCCATTTTAAAGATGAGGAAGTAGGATTTGAGAAGAGAAGGGACTTGCCCGAAGTTCCAAGGACACAAGACCAAAACCCAAATGTGCTCATTCCTTACTAGCACATTCACCAGGCACAGGGCTAGGCCCTGGGACATGAAGACGAATAAGACTCAGGTCCCTACTGAGGGAAATTACAGTCCGATGATGTGTAGCGGGGAGCAGGGTGGGGGAGAGGTAGTGGCTCCAGAGGCAGCCTCATAATAATGGCTCCTGCTTGTTAAGCCTAGGTGTACCACACACCAGCCCCAGGCTTTCTACCTTGTTTGCTTGTTGTCAATCCTCACAACACCCTAGGGGGCGAGTACTGTTACCCTTTCACTACCTAGATGTAGAAACCCAATCCAGTGATTTTCAACTTTATATTTCAGCAGCTAAATTGTTTCTTCAAGGGAAATCTTAATTGGAACCTCAAAGAAATCGGGCAAAGTCAGGGGTGAGCCCCCTGGCTTAGCCTCTCCTCCTTAATTCCCCCCACAAGGGCCCTGGAGGGACTTTCTCAGAGCCTGAGCTCTTCCCCAGGCACAGTTTAGAGACCACCCACGTGACCCAGTTCTTGGATGTCTCCAAAAGGGGTAGGTTACATGCAGAATTTCCCAGTCCGTTAATGCTCATTTTACTGAGGAGGAGAGGAACTCCTTGGGCGTCCCCAGGGCAGTTACACAGCTCCCACTTCAGCCAAAGTCCTAAGACTCTCAGGCCCGCGTCCATCCATGCACTTCTTTTATTAGGACACGGAGGCCTTTTATTAACAGCTATACAATACCATCTCCTCCAAGCTGCATTTTAAGGCCGGGCTTGCAGTGGGCTCTCGTAACAGGGTTTTTACCTCCCTCCCACCTTTTCTCTTCTCTACCTCCCGTTCCCCCTTGTCACTGACGACAGGAAAGTCTTGTTTTAGAGAAACCACTCCTGGGAGCCAAGCGGATGAGTGTGGCTTGAAGCTGACAGCTTCCAAGTTTACCTTAGGTGTCCTCCATTCCTCTCAGCTTGTTTAATATCGCGGCTCATCACTTTGTCATATTCACAAGACACTCGACGTTAGAAAGGGCCTTTTAAATCCTCTGGAATAGGACTTCTTAAATTCAACAGCACCTTGGAGTGTGGAAGTAGATCATTAACTTCCTCGTGTGCACTGAGAGGGATACTCAATTTTCAGGAAATTAAATGATTGCGCCCCTTAGGGTGGCCTGTCTGGAGGTGGCCTGCCACCTGAGCCCCGAGAGCCCCGTCCCTCCTTCAGTGGGTTCCATAGCTGCCGCCTACTTCCTTCTCCCCGCTCCTTCCAAGTTCCTTTTTCCCAAACTCACTTTGATATGGATTTTTTTCTCCGCTGTCTCTTCTTTTTAGCTCGTCCCTTCTCCAGGGTCCGTCCATGACTTTTTCTAAGAGTTTTGGTGCCAATCATCTAGGAAATGAGTCGGCTGGGAAAGATAACAAGCATGGGAAGCTCAGAGTCCAAACCTGTCCTAGCCGTTTCTGTCCCTAAGTCCCTTCTTGTGTGTCTGAGTGGCTCCCTTCTTATGACCCAGAGGTCAGTCTAAGGCTGTTTTCCAAACTTTGTTTCATGAGATTCCAATTCCACTAGTTTCTCCAAGACACAGTTTCGTGGTCAGAAGGACTGGGAAATTCTTCTTGAAACCTTTCCCTTGTGGAGTCATCAGTGTATGGAATCACACCAGAATTGTTGAGAAGTCTGGCAGTTCAGAATTCTGTGGAACTTCATATAAGCCCAAACCTGTTTGAGCACCAAAAACGTGTTTTGCAGCCCACCTAAGAGATGCTAGTCCAGAGGTGTCTCTCTGAGTTGACTCTGGAAGCCTCCAACCCCTTCACTAGGATCCCTTTGGGCCCCGGGGTGGAGACCACAGATCTTGTCCTGGCTCCTCTCAGGAAAAGCCAAGTTAGGCTATTCTCCGAGAGCCTCCAGGAACATTTTATTTTCATCTATACCCAAACACTGTCAGCTGCTCGTGCTTTCTTTGGAAGTAAATAGAAATGAATCAAGGTGAGGGCCCATTTATGGTCTGAACATTGCATTCTTGAGGTCCGGTCAAAGGAAGACGTCAGGAAAGAGCCATTCTTAGAGGAAAGGATGGCACTGGGTTTTTCTGTATTTGGGAAGCAAGTTCTTTCTTATCAAGCCAGCTGTCACACACTTGGATTTCTACAAATATGTCCATACATGCACGTACTTACATTAATAACATGTATCTCTGCTTTGGGAAATGGAGGCTTTTTCTGTTAGCAAACTTCAATTTTAGTTTATTTTTAATTAGTAACTAACCCATTTTTTTTTTTTTTTATTAGGTGGTGGTTTTTCTTAGTTTTTGTTTCTCTCTACTCTGGAAAATCCCATCAGTCATTTCACAGGTGAGCCTTGGGTTTTGTTTGTCGGCATGGGGTAGGGAGTATCTAAAAACACAAACTGCTCTGAAAAAGGTAATACTGACTGTATTAGTTTGCTAGGGCTGCCATAAAAAGAACCACAAACTGAGTGGCTTAAACAACAGGAATTACTTGTCTCCAAGTTCTAGAGGCTAGAAGTTTAAGATCAAGGTATTGGCAGGGTTGGTTCCTTCTGAGAGATGTGAGGATCTGTCCCAGCCTCTCCCCGGCTCCTAGTGGTTTGCAGGCAATCTTTGGTGTTCCTTGGCTTGTGGAAGCATCACCCTGATCTCTGTCTTCATCATCTTCACGTGGTATTCTTCCTGTGTGTGTGTCTGTCCAAATTTTCCCTTTTTATGAGAACACCAGTCATTATTGGATTAGGGGCCCACTCTTCTCCAGCATGACCTCATCTAAACTTAACTGATTATATGTGCAACGGCCCTATTTCCAAATAATGTCACATCTTACTTGCGATGTGGTACTAAGTACTGAGGTACTGGGGATTAGAACTTCAATATATGAATCTGGTTGACAAGACGCAATTCAACCCATAACACCCATTCCGTACAAAATACCACATTCCATTCTGCAGCATTTAAGGAAGCCCCAAGCTGCTGCCTCATCTTTTAACCGTCAGCTTCAGAAAGCAAAGCTGATGTAGGTCAAAGGACAGGTGGAAACAGGCTCAAACACAGACATGCTAGCGACTTCTGCAGCAAGCTGACATTTTTCATGTTCCAAGAGGAGAAGAACCAGAATCTCCTCGGGGCTGTCTGACTGTACCAGCAATGGCAGGTAGAGAACTAGAATTGGGTTCATTTCAGTAAAAAAACTTCCTGTGTGGTGCTTGGGTTGGGCCCTGAGGAGAGCGTGATTAAGCAAACCCAGACCTTGCCATGCGGAAGCCGAGGGAGACAGACATGCAAAAGGTGCAGAGGTGTGGACCCAGTGCTGTGGCCATGATGAGCTTTGCTTAGTGAGGGGACACTAAGGCTTCACAGAGGAGGTGACGTGTGAGCTGGGTTTGTCATGTTATCAGACAGTTTCAGCCAAGCCAGGGGACAGAAGGGCTTAAGGCCCTGTTGTGTCTCCCAGGTTAGGCAAGAGGCAATGTGGTATAGTGGGGAGCCCCTGGGGTCTGATGACAGGGGTCCTAGGCCATCCCTCAGTTGCTTCATTGATAAAATGGTTTTAGTTAAAAGACTTGACTTACAGGGTGTGGCATCAGGATCAAATGAATTCACAGGTGTGAAAACATCATGGTTATGGGAAGTAGCAAAGACAGGATTCAAATACAGGTGTTAGGTCTCATCTGTGCCATGGGACATGAGCAGTAGTCTTCTCTAGCAAAGGAGAGTAGCCTGAGACGTGACAGACCTGGACACTGGGCTCCCCCAGGCCAATCACTTCTTCCCTCTGAGACAGCTCCCTTGGGAGTAAAATGAGAGGTCTGGACGAGACAATCGCCTTCCAGCCAGGACATTAGGTGACTCACTGAAAAAGGCATCAGCATATAATGGCTAGAGCAATGGAGACTTGGAAAGCCAGCAGACCTGAGTTCAAATGGTGGTTCTGCCACTGCCTGGTAGTGTGATTTGTGTGAGTCACTCAACCTTTCTAAGCTCAATGTCCTCATCTGTAAAACAGGGATAACAGCAAATACCTACCTCCGAGATTAAATTAGAAAATCCTTCCGAATTGCTTAACACACAGATTGACATATGGTAGAAAGAGTTAGCTGCTACTGTTGGCTGCTTTTTGTGAGGATTGAATGAGATGTTATAGGTGAAGGGCCTGCAGGCAGCAGGTGCTCAGTTAACCACTGACAACCCCTCCCCCCATTTTAAAATCAGCTGTGGCAGAATTTCCAGAATTGATGTTTTCCATTGGGGTGTGGGGCGAAGGGTGGAGGTTTTGTGCAGAAAACTATTTAAACTACTTGAAGAATAAAATAGTTTTCAAGCATTCATAAACCCTTTATAATTACTCATAATTAGTGGTCATGGCAATACAATAAATTATGATACATTAAGGCACATGCCCTCAAGACTTTCACCTTGCAGTTTTATTAGGGAACTAGACCAACTTAGTGCATTATGCCACTATAATAATTATTATCCTGATGATTCATAAAACATGCCAGGCCACCATGTGAATGACAAGCATTTATTTGCCCTGAAGAGTGCAAATCCAAGAAGGATCTTTCTAAGATCTTTCTCTTTCTGGTAGGTCTGAGGTCAACACAGAACTCAGAAGACAAAGACAAATTCTTCTACAATGTCGTACAGACGAGAACTAGAGAAATACCGTGACCTGGATGAAGACAAAATCCTCGGAGCCCTAACAGAGGAAGAGCTCAGAACCCTGGAAAATGAGCTGGATGAGCTGGACCCTGATGTGAGTGGGCACTATAGGGGACCACACTGTCATAGGTGCAGGGATGGCAACCATTACCACATGGGGGAGGGATAGGTGCAGACTTCCTGAAGCTCCCACTTCCTCTTTCCTTCTATGACAATCACATTGGAATAACATTGCCTTTGTAGGTGTGTGTGTGTGTGTGTTGTGTTGTGTTGTGTTGTGTTGTGTTAGAGCTCTCTAACAGAACCAATAGGATGTATATATACATATACAAAGAGATTTATTATGAGAGATTGGCTGACATGGAGGCTGACAAATGCCAGGTCTGCAGTCAGCAAGCTAGAGACCCACGGGAGCCCATGATTTTGTTTCCGTGAGTCCAAAAGCCTGAAAACCAGGAGAGCTGACAGTGTAGTTTCAGTCCGAAGCCTGGCAGGCTTGAGACCCTGGAAGAGAGAGCCGATGTTTCCGTTCTGTTCTTTTCCTTGATATCCCCGTAATTTAAGTACGATGACGTAAAATTCACAATGCTTAAATACTATGATATAAGATCAACGTGTTTTATGTTACTTGATAAGAGAATAAGAGAGGGAAGAAAACAAAGATATTTACTTAACACACACACGCAAACATATTCGTAACAAAATAAGAAGGAAACACTCATGACGAGTATAGTCCTTGTTTCTGTAACTGGTCACATGGTTGTAGCTACCTTCTTCTACTACCTATTCTGCATTCCCTTTGCCTCTAGCAAGCACCTAGCTGGTCATGGTTCTTTGCCTGGCTGGCTTACCCAGACCTTCCTTTCTGAAGGGTCTGGGCCATTAGTAATTCTGCCTGGATTGGGTTGTAGTTTTCCATTGACTTTAATCACAGGGCATGGTAATTACTGAGAAAACCGCACGCAGTCTTCCTGATTTCCATTGTGGAGAAGCTGTCCGATTTCCCCTTGGTAATCAGGATGAATCACTCCAGCCAGTTTCTCTGCCTATTGATACAGAGGAGTCCAAAGTGGCCAGGTGGCAGTTAATCCAGTCCAATGGAATTGCTGTTGTCTCTCCTGATGGAAGCATTCATTCCTTTGGAACTAAGACCTCTAGGCCAGCAGAGCATTATGTCATAGGAATAGGAAGCAAGAATTTTGCTCGTGGGTCATTAGGTGCCCTTGATTCCTGGACCCATGAATCCTGACTATAGGAGAAGCAGCACCATATATTGGACACTGATTCGGAGCAGATACAGACTCCTAGAGAACCTTGCCCCAGCCCTGCAAGGTAGGCACCTAGCTAGCACTGTAACCAAGTCTGCAAAAGCCTGTTCCGCTCTTCTATCCAACTGAATGCTTCAGGATGGTGGGGGACAGGTGTCATGGAATGAATTAACTAAGAAATAAAAGACTAGAAGAGTCCCTTTCACTAGTTTGATGTTTTTATCATTGCATTTTGTAGTTGGCACATTTAAGAAGTGCGTTTAATGCTCAGAATTCACCTCTACCATAAGGCTCATAGCATCAAGAAGCAAGAAGCTCCCCAGTGATGTCTGTGGTTTGGCCAGCCACTGTGGGGCCAGGAGCAGGGATAGACAAGGATTCCTAAGTGGCCTACTAGACAGAGACCTTCATCCCATATCTCTATCCCAGGTACCCAGGTCAATGCCCAGCATGGAGAAGGTAGATAATTAATGTTACTGAATTAATTTTCCACTTGACATGCTTTCAAATTAAAAACAAAACACTACATGCCTTTAAAAAAAACCTGTCATTGCTCGACTCCAGTTTAATGGTGATCCATAAGAAAAGAACACTGCTAAACCGTTTCACCAACCCTCAAGTAATCACAGCTAGCGAGCAGGAGTGTAGGTTAGCAGGAAAAATGCAGGGCTAGAGGTTAGATATCCCAGTTCCAAACCTGGCCCTGTCTCTTATACTCCATGTGACCTTGTGGCTGTCCTTGCCTAGACCTCAGTGTCCTCGTCACTGAAATGGTGGAGTTTGTTGGTTCCTTCTAGGTCCAGGCGTCTATGAGCTAATAACCTGGTCTTATCTCCAGATTCGATTAAATGGCTTCTTTCTAGATAACCCAGAATCCTTGTCTAGGGGTCCTGAGTCCGAGGCCCTGTAGAATGACAGATCCATTCAGCAGCGTGCTGTCATCTTGCTGTTCACAGCGCTCTCTGCCCAGCTGTAGGGAGACGGCTCCTCTGACGAGGTTGCTCAGGGTGATTAGAAGGCAGCATTGATGCGAGAACTCGGGTTCCTCCTCTTTCCCCTGCACTGTGGCTCCCCGTTAGCCTGGGTTTCTGTAAAAACAAGTGACGTGGGCAAGGAAGAGCCAAACTTCCAGCTTTGTTGCTATAAACGTATTCTGTTCTCCTTCTATCTTAGATCACTGCCACATAGAACTACAGGAACAAAGAGCTTTAAAAAGTGAGAACAAAAGGAGGACGTAGTTACTTGTGGTCAACTCAATAAACATGGTGCAGTTATCTGCCAGGCGCCAGACCCTCTGCTGGCCACCGACCGGGGAGCCTGGTGGGGAGTCTGTCCTTCGGGTGCTCACTCCGGTGGGAAGCTGGCACAGTAAACTATGTTCTAAATAGAAGCAGACAAGAGCTCAGAAAGAGGATTAATTCTTACTGGCGGGAGGCTTCACAGAGCAGGTGATATTGGAACTGGGCCCCGGATTTTTCTAAGTCAAGAATAAAAACAAAGCCAAGTGAAGGCCATGAGCCAGGGCTCTTATATAGAAGGTAATTGTATGGAAGGTAGACAGGGAGTCTCAGCGTGGTTTCTGTGGAGGGTTAGATGAGCCTAGAAGCGGGTTTGGGCTAGATAAAAATGGGAGGGGATTGCTGAAGAGACTGGGCTTTTCTCAGTAGGCCCAGGGAACCTTTGAGGGGCAGTGACTTCCTGGAAACTCCTCTAGTCCATCTGCCTGAGACTGTCTCAAGGACAGATGGACTAGAGGAGTTTCCGGGCAGATGGGTGAGAGGTGGAAGGGACTCACGTCAGAGCCACCGTCTTCCTGCCCACCAGTGGTGGGAGAATTCTTTTTTGAAGAAAGGGCCCCTGCCCTTCTCTGCAACCCTTCCGCCCTATTGCCGAGTCTTTGCATTTCCTAAGACAGAGGCATGCAGACACCCCGGGCCCGCAAGGCCTGCTGCCTGTAGCCTTCAGGACTTTTGGAGTTACCTTGAGCCACTGGATGGAGATGAGGTTAGATGAGGTTAGATTAGGTTGTGACTGCAAATCAGGCAGGTGACGACAAGGGTCAGAGACAAGTATCAGACCCGGGAGTGGGGCGGTGACAGTTAGAGGAGCCCTCTCAGAACCGAGAGTAGAACTTCTCAGGACTGCTTGATTTCCAGCTGAGAGCTCTGTTCCACTTTTAAACTGGCAAAGAGCTCCCACAGTACCTCCACCCCACATATCAGGGTATCTGGTCCCAACAGCAAATTCCCAGGGTCTCTGTACCTCTCACACAGCCAGCTCCCCTGGAGCCCTTCTCCCAGGTGATTAACGGGAAGGAATGCTTTTGTCCACTGGAGGTATAGAGAACCTGAGGCTCTGAGAGCTGACAGCTTGCCAAGTGTCACAGGACCCAGGCATGGAGACTCGGATTTCTTACAGGCTCCAAACTGTGCATCTCTCCCTCTCTGGCAGGAGGGAAGTAACCGTGTATTGGCATTTGGGAGTGGGGCTGGGCAATCCGAGACCTGCGATTCTCACACCATTGTGGTTTCAAAATGGACGTTTTCAAAGACCCCTTTCTTTCTAAGTTCAAGGAAAAGAAAAATCAGAGAGAGGATAGGCGATAAGAGTCCAGTGGGGTTTTTTGGTCCCAGCCACACAATTAGCCTCTTCACTGAGACGTCTCTGTTACCTGATTTGTGAGTTTCGAAAAGAGCGAGTGGGGCCTCTTTTCTTTCTGAGAGCACAGACATTCCAGCTCAGGTTTCACGCGCCCTTGGCCGGCTTTCTGAAATCACAGTGTGGGGAGAGGCCAAAGGTACACAGACCGTGAGAGGCCTCTGGAGCCGGCTGGCCTGGAGAGGGCGCGGGGACCAGCAGGTGTCTAACCTTCCAACTTAAGGAGCAGGAACGGAGCCCAGTGAAAGGCAGGGACTTGCTCTAGGTCCCACGACCAAACAGAACCCAGGTCTGCTATCTCCTCTGGTTTACTCTATACGTTCCTATTTTAATTTTTGTTTAATAGGTGGCACTTTCTATGTGCAGGCACGGTTCTAAGCACTTCGAAAATAGGAAATCATTCGGCCATCGTCATAATCCTATGATGCAGGCAGTATTATCAGCCCCATTTTACAGACGAGGAAACTGAGAAGTGATGTAATTTGTCCATGAGTCACAACTAGGCAGCGGCTGAGCCATGACGTAGTTCTAAGAGTTCATGTCTTAGCCACGCTGCCATAAGCTTCATGGGAGTCTCCAGGAGGACAGTTCGAGCCACAGATGTGCTCTGATTTTGTCCTGGGGAGGGTGCTATATGCAAAATCATCTTCCTTTCCTCCTGTAAACAACCTGAGAAGCAGAAGTTCATGTTCAGTCCTGGTTCTGCTTCTAATTTAGGCACGTGCTGTTCCTTCTTTGTCTGTCTCCTACCTGTGAAATGGATGCAGTTGGCCCTCTGACACCCGCTTCAGCTCTAAGCATCCACGATTTTTTTTCTTTTTTCTCTTTTAATTTGAGATGTAATTGACATTTAACATTATATTAGTTTCAGGTGTACAGGATAATGATTCAATACTTGTATATGTTGCAAAATAATCACCACAATGTCTAGTTAACTTCCATCAACACTGTATAGTTACAGTTTTTTTTCTAACCATCTATGATTTTATGGGCAATTCCCGGCAATCTTGTTACCTGAATTCAGCTCACACTTGAGGAGGTTTGGTTTTCAGGGATGCGGTTGTTAAGCCCCAGTGTCACTTGACAGAGTGGAGCCCGGTAGAGCTGAAAAGCAGCTTGGTCTGCAGTGGAGAATTCCAAACTTGTGCACATTTGAAAAAAAAAAAAA